AACAGTCATAAATTCCACAAACAAGCTGTCTCCAGATGCAAAAATAACCCCATTGTTATTATTTTGTTATTATGTTGTTATTATTTTGCATTTTTGTGTTTCAAAAAAGGCTCACCTGGCTTGCAATCCAGGCTTTAGGGAAGAGCTGACTTTTTGAACATTAAATAGCCATTAGATGGTTGAAAATTATCAAATTATCTTATATAATGAGTAAGAATAAGTCATCAGCTTTTTTTTTTAACAGTGTACACTGTACATTTCTGTCTTATTTATGGTCAGAGGAAGAAATTATCTTTTTTGCTTCATTTAGGATTTTATTTCTTCCAAAAGTAGCAGAAGGTACGGAGTAGTGGGAAAAGATAATTATAGTACATTTATTACATTAAGAAGACAAGGGAAAAGTGCGTTTTCCTCTTTCAAATTTTTCTGTGATAGCTGTCATTTGTTAGCATTTGTCACAATTCTGAAAGATTTGAGAAGAGCTAAAATAATAAAGAGCTGGAAGGTGATGTAGAAACAGAATTATAATGTTGGGTGTTCAGGTATATGTTTAAGAAAACATTCATCAAGTCTCTAGATTATTAAAATATGTTGTAATTCAAAAAAAAATTGAATCTCTTGATAGCCTTTTGTCTCTTTAAGAAGTCATTTTGCTTTTTAGAGACATGAAAAAAGTTGGTTACTTAGTTTTACATTTTATTAAAGTGTCAAGTTCTATAAACTAACAATTTTGTATACAATGGTGAAAAAAAACACTGGATGTTTAATTTTTTAAACTTCAAGACATTAAGATTAAATAGCAAATTAATCGCAGTGTCTCCTTTGATTTTATCTGGAAGAAACAAAGTTGCATTCATATCTTAAAATTGTGTGTAAAGTCTGTTTTGGCTCTGTCATTGTCAGTAGGGCATTGAATTTTCTGGCCTGAGCTGCACTAAAGTAGTTGGCCTAGGGAAGTATAATGCTAGATTTCTCTCCTTTCTTGTTTGGGTCTACAAAAGCAATGCAGTGTTTTGGAAAATGGTTGGTTTTAAAAATTCTTGTAAAAAAAGATCTAATCACATTGTCAGGGAGATGACCTATTTGTTTCATGTGAGCTGAATGGGTTAAGGGACAGCAAAGGGTTTTGGAAACTTCAAGGAGGCCTGTGATGCAGCCTCCCTGTCAGGTGTGAGTCGTTGCCTACTTTCTGCAGGTACTGACTTCATTGCCAGCACCTGACAGCCAGCCTGCAGCCTCCATCACGAACGAGCGTGGTCGAAGCTTCTTGGCCCTGAGTAAGTTTCTTCTTGTGGATATTTATTTATGTACTTATTCTTTCCTACCACTACGGTGTCTAAACCAGGAAAGCTGATTGCTACTGGGGTTGGATGGTGTGTGTCTGTGGAGTAAGACGTGGAGGCGAGACCGTAGGTCCACAGCAAGATTCTAGTGCTTTGCTCTCCACTTCAGTGTTTGAAAGGATGCTGTGTGTTTTTTAATTGGAGGAGTGCATCTTAGTGTGTTGAACTTGGGTTGCATGTGATATTTCATGAAATACCCTACTCTCCAACTTATTACAGGTCATTCTTAATAATTAGAAAGCAACCCCAGAACTGGAGACAGACTTGGTAGACACCCTTCTCCATATTTGATGCGTTTCATTCACTCAGTCGCTCAGTGCCTCACCACACCTCCCTATGCAAGTGTCTTGTCCTTGTTTAATTTCTTACACACTGTGTCCCTCTTTGAGTCCCTCAGTGAATTTTGCCTCATTCTGTTGCTGTTTGCCTGAGTCATCGTATCTCTTTGATTAGGAGGAGACACCCTGAGGCTTTGTGGCTTCTGTAAGAGCTTCTCAGATGTCTGCTGAATGATTGTTTGGTCTTTTGTGAGAAATACTTTTTTTTTCTTTGATATTCACATACTGTGTCAGATTCCCAGGTGGTACGGGTAGTGGTCATCTCCCTTTGTCCTGTGTCCCAGCTTCTCTCCCCTGCCCCATAGGTCCTTGTCGTGTTTTCATTGTGACTGTATTCTGGTCTGGCCCTTGAATGGGCCCTTCACTTTGACCACTGGAGCAAAGCAAAATTCTTGCCTTATTCTCGCTCCATTTTAGAGTTCCTGGAATTTGAACATGACCTAGTTACTTGGCTTGAATTAGTCATTGTTTTTTAATTTTGCAAGGGTTATTGAATATCTTTTTAGTTTGGCTTTATTAATATTGATGCCTCTCAGCTTTTATTTTTGTGGAGTCCTCTTTGAAGTCTCCTGGGCTTTGTTTCATATAAAAATCAAAACCTTCACTGTGCAATGAAATAAAGAAATATGGTGCAAAACAGAGTTCAAAGACTTGAAAGGCCTTTGGAGGGTTGAAATTATTTTAAGTATTAGGTGCCTTTTCTTTGAACTCTAGAATAAGCTCTCTAGCCCATCCTTGCACAAGCAGTTTGGAATCTCCTATAGAAAGTATATTTTATTAACAAGGGTTTTTGTCCTGCTCTGCCACCTGCTCATCTTATTCCCCAGTAAGCCTCACCTATTTTAGTTCTTCTTCATCGACTTCATCTGAACACCTAAAACTTATCGAGGGTGTACTTCACAGGGTTGTTTTGAGGATTAGGTGAGAATGTGTCGGGTAAAGCAGTTATGCTCCTGTGTCTGTGAAGAAGGGAGGGCCCCTGCTCCCTGTACTGGAGGGGGCGTGGATTGGGGCTGATACTGGAGTGAACATTTCAGGTTGACTTCCCCGTTCATCCAGTAACTTGCTTCTCTCCATGAAAGCCTGTTTTGATTAAGGACCTGACCATTCATCCATCAGGGAGTTGTCTGTTTATTTGTTTGCTTGTCTTTATTGAAGTATAGTTGATTTACAATGTTGTGTTAGTTTCTGGTGTATAGCATAGTGATTCAGGTGTACATATAGATATATTTTTCATTATAGGTTATTACAAGATACTGACAGTAGGACCTTGTTGTTTATCTATTTTATATATAGCAGTTTGTGTCTGCTAATCCCAAACTCCTAATTTATTCCTCCCTCCCCCCTTCTCCTTGGGTAACACTTTATTTTGTTTTCTGAGTTTCTGTTTTATACATAAATTCATTTGTATCGGTTTTTTTTTAGATTCTGCATATAAGTGATATTATATGATATTTATCTTTGTCTGCCTTACTTAGGATGATCATCTCTAGGTCCATCCATGTTGCTGCAAATGGCATTATTTTATTCTTTTTTATGGCTGATTAATATCCAGTGTGTGTGTGTGTACACACCACATCTTTATCCAGTCATCTGTCAATGGACATTTAAGTTGCTTCCATGTCTTGGCTATTTTTTTTTTAAAAGCAGGGGACAAGTGCCAGCCTTGTCTCTTGCCCTCTCTTGTCTGTTGCAGCCCTGGCACCCTTGGGCCTGGGGCTGGAGAGGAGTGTTGTTTGTGTTTCAGGCTCTGCTTGGGGCCAGCCCAGCAGATCTCTGTTCCCCCAGTTCAGCTTCTCTCACTGCAAAACCAGTTAGGTTGGTGTCAGGTTTCCCTTGCTCTGGGGGCTACCTTCACTTCAGCGGGGAGGGCTGAGGAGGCCCCGTTTTGGCCGGCCTGTCCCAGTCCTGCTCTCGCACCAGTGAACCTGACCCTGCGATCCCTGTTTAGTTCCTCAAGGCTGCACAGCCTGCAGAGCCTGGAGGGATTGGCAGGCATCTCAGATAACCACAGACTACATACAATGACACGTCTTTGCCGTACTACAAAGACCCTGTCCCATGTAAGGCACTGCAGCTTACTGGACGGTGATACACTCACTTCTCTGACTTCCGATGTTTCCTGGGACGGTGCACCCCTGCCCAGACAGTGCTTCACGGGGCTGAGCAGGCAGAAGGGACTCAAAGCAGATTGGTTATTTTTCAGGAACTCAAGAAATTCTAGTGTTTATTAATTGATTCCTTGGTAGAGTGCTTTTTAAAGGTTACTTATGTTGTTCTTTATCTCGAAGTGTATACTTTAAAGGAAGCACATATAATTTTCCCATGTGATTTTTTGGCACACAAATTCCTGCTGCCTTTCTGCATCCTCCTGACCTTTACAGAAATAGGGGGGCATGGGCAAGGGGCAGCTCATGAGGATGTGAAGGTGAGTGAAGCACAGGAGCTGGCTACAGAAAGGTGACCACACACCTGACCACACATCTGACCTCTTCGAGACATGGCACCCCACCCTATGTTTCGTAGCTCCTTTTCTCTAACCAGCCCCCGACCCTCCCCTTACTTTGGCCTCTAGAGTGGGAAAGTGTAAACTGTAAGATAAGTAAGGATGTGATGTTGGTGATGCAGGAAAGAAGATGTTTTCCATGGTGGGTACCAGCTGTTTTGCCTTCTTCCAAGAGCCGTTGCTTTCCATAAGCTCCTTCTAGGGTTCTTGCTGTTTGAGGTCACGGGAGACCGTGGAAGAGTCGCTGGCTGTAAGCAAGGCAGCGATGGTTCGTGTGTACTATACACCATGGTAACACCTCACAGACACCATTGCCAGAGGGGCCGACTTATTCGTGGAGAGGGAGGAGAAAATATTTTTAGTTATTTTTATTTTTGGTGCTGAATGCAAGAAAACATTTTCTTATTTTTCCTGCCTTAATCTAATCTCTTAGCTGAAAATAGTGATGCTTTGTTTCTTAAAGAGTAACTTAGTGAAAAACCATTAGCACATTCTCTTTTAGCTGTGGCTTTACAAAAGGCAAGGAGGAGAAAGAAAGTTGGAGCGGGGCGCATGGGAGCAGGGAAGAGGCACACGGGTCCCAGTTTATTGCCTCAGTAAAGAACTTCCTGCTCTGGACTGGCAGTCCTAGGCACCCAGGCTGTTCCAGCTGTTTCCTTCACTTTTGCAAATCTGTGCACGAGGGCACTTGGGAGAAGGGTGAGGAGGAAAGGAAATTGTGTTAAGTTATATCATGGCTACTTTGAAGGTTCCTGTTTTATGTGTGCCTTTCTGCTCTTTTGGGTTGGGTGGCTTGCGAGTCTAGCCCTGCCTCTGCCTCTTCCTCCTCCTTTTTATCCAGGTGAAATTCATGTAACATGAAATTAACCATGATTTTAGAGTGTAAAGTTTTTTTCTTTTGTTAAAAGTAACATCGGAAAAATTATTTAAAGTCAATTCATTTTTACTTAATGCATTTTCATGTTAGGATTCCTCCCACTGCCCATCACCTTAGTTCCTTCAGTGTTTGAGTCATAATCTTCAAGATTGCCCTTTTAAAAAGAACTGTGGCTCAGTTCACAGTTGTCATGTTAGTCAGCCCACGATTCTTTTTGGTTGAGCATCTTTGATCTTCCCTTGAATATGGAGGTACTTTGAAAATTCCCCACCTGTAATCTTTGCGATCCAAGTTCTTCAAGCAATTTGCTTTAGGGCCCTAGAAGTTAAATTGTAGGAAGCACATTGTTATTTTGGCAGATGATCTAAAATACAATGTTCTTTCATCATTTCTAATATTGAAAAGTTTTGTTACATCCAATTTTCACTCATGAGCCTAGCAAAAAAAGTCGCAGGTCTCATTGTCACCACTGCAATAAAATGACTGTGATGGACGCAAAACCTGTGTCTTAAGGTGGGCACATCAACCATTTCTGGACACCATGAACAGCAGTATCCATTTTCATCTACAGTGAGGCTTGAAATGAACTACTTTAAAACAGTTTCTGGGCATTCAGTGCAGTCACAATGTTGTGTATTCACAACTATAAGTCAAGTCCTTCTGGAGGCAAGGAGCAGATTAGACTGGTAGCTTCCTTCCTGGGGTGAATGCTCTGGAATTCTTTTGCCAGGCTCTTTGTGGCAACTTTCCTTCTGAGGAGTGACTTCAAAAGAGGGATTTTTAGGCCTTGAGATATCACGTTGATGAATATCTTTTGAACACAGCTGCCATGAGAACTTCTTCCTTAGTGTTGATGAGATGACAGAAAATAAGACATGGGACCTTCTGGTCTTTTCTGTGGCATATGTGATTTAATGGGGGGCTGTCACATAAAGAACACATAGGCAAGAAGCACAAATAAGTATTGTGTAATTACTATCTTCTGTACGGTGCTTTTTTTGCAAATAGATTTTGAGTAGAGTTCTGGAATGAGTGGCAAGGCTGTAGGCAAATAAGAGGGTTAAGGGGATGGGGTTGCATTGATTCAAAATTGGGTCATTACCAAATTAGACAGGCAAGGGTACCCTAAGTTTATTAGCTGGATTTTGTCATCAGTCACTGTTGAATACTTGCTGCATACAGAAGTCTGTACTGAACTGGGAATTTTAGGAGAATAAAATAAAATACCTGGTCTTGGCCATGAGGAGCTGAGGTGGGATTTTGGTTGATGTAATTGTTGATTCTTGTGCATAGGGAATCTGATCATATATGGAGAAATTCATTGCATGTTTGAGGAATGACTGAAAAAAACTGGCTTTTGATTTTCCAGGAAAAAAAAAGTGATCATACTGAGAAAAATTGGGAACAATTTTGAATTTGCTTGACATAAGTCATTCTTTGCAGTTGATTTTCTGTTTGGATCATTTGCTTGCAAGAAATCTTAGGCAGATCTTGCAAAGACGCTGAGAAAGAAAAAGCATTGTATCTGAGGATTTCTAAAAACTTTCAAAACTAATTAACTTTTTTGAGGAGGGGGGAAAATATCTCCTCTTCAGGAATCTTTTACAGAGTCATTTACGGATTTGCTTCTGTTTTGAGAGGGATTGACGTCAGCAGGGATTTCTGAACACCGAAGACTATACGAATACTGACTCCAAAGACAATCTAAATTAAATTGGATACCTTCATAATAAAAGTGTGTGGCTGCTACTTCGAGATGCCTTCGTTGAGGGGTGCTCTGTTGGGTGGTTTTCTATTCTTAGCATATTAAATGTTAAAAGAGTTAATTTTCTTAGATGCTCCCTGCTTCTAAATTGAAGCATGTGATCTTGACATTGTGTTAGTACTGCTACAGTAGTAGTGAATTTGGGGGTAGTAGAATGAGCCTTTCTTCCTTCCTTCCCCCTTCTTTTCTTTCTTTTAAAAATAGGGAATTTTTTAAAAAGGTAATGGAGAAGGAAAATATAAAATTAAAAAGTGATATTTCTCCTAGATACTGTTGTGTGACTTAACCAACTTTTATTATTGTTTCCATGAGAGGATTATTTTTCAAGCCATAGAGGTTTTATTATTATATTAATGATCACATCAGTCATTCTAAGGGTATAGAGTTGGGAGAAAATACAGAATTGGTGACACTGTTGAGTTCCTGTTCTAGAGACAGTGCTGAGTGCTGCTTATGGGCGATCTCATGCAACCCTCCCGGCAACCCTAGGAGGGGTGATATTATCATTGTCCTGATTTTCAGGGGGAGAAAATGAGGTTCAGAAAGAGGAATGAGTTCCCCAGAAGCACCCTGGGATTTCAGCCCTTCCCCTCTGCTCTTACCTACCACTCTGCCCTGCCCCTCGGGGTTGCGTTGACCACTGCTCTCCAGCAACACAAATTCACCCCTTTCCCCTCTTTCCTAGATGTCTGTTCTGTGTCATTGAGTGCCGGCCACTGTCACAGTGTCGGGCATACCTACAGGGTTGGAATGCCCGAGACCTGCCCATATGGAGGTCACGGTCAGGTGCCTGGGAGAGGTGGGGTCTCAGAGAGGGGTTCCTGAAAGGGTGGTTTCCAGTCCCAGTGAACCTCATGGAGAAGTGGGGAAGGGCATTTCAAATTAGAATGGCTCTTGAGAAGGCGGAGTGCGGGTTCAGATAGTTCAGCAGGCCATGACTGGGGGTGGGGTATGTGCACAGAAGCATTCAGAAATTGTCATAAGGAAGAAGCTTTTTTCTAAAGTTTCGTTGATGGACTGGTCACAGTTTGTCATTGGCACTGCTGGCTAATCAACTAGAGTTTTGGAAGCCCTGTCTTGGCTCGTTCCTCTTCCATCAGGTGGGGCCTGTTGAGACCATGGAAGGGGTTTATGGCTTGGAGAACTGGAGAGTGGTTTCATATGATTTGCTCAGGCTCAAGATCAGGTTATTGTTGGGCTGACGGAACACCTGTCCTGTGAGTGCCCATCTAAGCACCCCACTGGCCACTTTCTCTGTGTCTGAGTACAGAGGGAACAGGGACATTGGCTCTTCTCACAGCCAGATGGCCGCATGCCTCCATAATCCCTAGGAATGTATCCCAGAACATCGATTTTCCTTACTCTAAATCTTACCATAACAGATCGTGCGATGAAGGCAAATTTGGCTATAATACTATTAGCGTTTTATTGTGTACTAAGTTTCTCTGTCTTTACTTTGAGTTTTCTTGTGACACCACAGACTGACTGAAAATATTATTTTTTATTAATTTTGCACTGATGGAACACCATGTTTTTTGCATTTCACTTGTTTGGAATCCACTTACCATGCTGTGACAACGTTTTCCTGCAGCTTTCATCATATCACCATTGGAGTTTGTTTCCCTTGCCTCTCAATTTATCAAACTATACTTAGTTACATTTTAATGGAAATCCTAGGAAGTGCAAGATATTAAAGCACTTTATATTTTGTTTATATTTACTTTATATTTTGATTTGAAACACTTGGAACTTTGTGTTGCATTTTAAAATGGAAGCATTCCAGTGGTTAGTGGCCAGGGCTCTTGAGATTCTGCTGGGTTGGAATCCCTGTTCCAGCACTTGCTAGCTGTGTGACTTTGGATGTCATAATTGCTTCTGTCTCCTAGGCTGGCTCTGCAGATTGACCCAAGATACGTAAAATGCTTTGAACACTACTTGACGTGTGGCAGGACCCTAATAGATGTTTGCTGCTGCTGTTACTCCAGAAAGTTATTCCAGGAAGCATAAGTTTAAAAATCTATTTGGACACATGATAAACTTATGGGTAAAACTCTTCTTTTTCAGAGAAGGAGTATAGTACAGTGTGATCCCTATTCATAAACACCTTATGCTCTTTTCAAAATGCATTTTTCCCCTTATTAAAACATTTACAAATTTGGAGTGTCAAGAGGGAAAAAACCACTCATAGCTGGTTTCTAACATAATTACTATACACATTTTGTTCTATTTCTTTTCAGTTTTTTTCCCTTTAAGCTTAGGTTTATTAAAATGTGTAGTGATAATCATATTGTATAAATAATTTAAGTGTTTTTTTAAACCCAAGCTACCATGAGTATGGTTTCATGTTATTAGTATCCTCACGGTAATTATAAATGCTTGCATAATAGCACATCAAGAAGATTTTTACCTTTGTTTATTTAACCATTAGGTACTTGAGTAGTTTCAAGTTTTGTTGTTATGAATAATTCTGTGATGACTGTACTTCTTTATAGAAGCTCTTATTTGGGCAATAATCCCCAAAGCAGACTCATTGAGTCAAAGGCAAAGAATGTCTAAGGTTTGAAATGTGTTTAAGTCACTGTCCATTCAGGGAACACAGTTTATACTCCTACCTGCACAGGATGCAAGCCTGATTTTACTGCACTTCTTCAGCATTGGGTATCATCTTAAAAATGCAGTAACAATTAATGGAAAACAATATATCACTGATAGATTTTTAAATTCCTAACAATTAGTAACTTTTAAATTAGTGAACATGAATGTTTCCCTGTATGAATGTTGCCTAATTTTATTGCTGCTTTTGTGAATCGTCTGATCATGCCTTTTGGGATCATCATTTTGGTATTTTTTTTTTTAAATCACGGTGATTTCTTATAATCACAAAGTTCAGTTTATACCAACACTTTATATATAAAAGATGATAACCCTTTGTCTGTCGAACTTTCGGGGAGGGGAACATTTCCCCCTACCCTTCTTGGTTCTTTTGGCAGGTCTAATAATTAAACGGACACAAGGCAGATTATAGGAGAAAAAGAAGAACAAATTTAATTTCTTATGTAGGGAGGTCTCATAGATAAAGGACCCAAGAGGTGACCAAAGCAGGCTGTTTATATACCTTTTAGACAAAATAAATTTGTGAAGAGCTGACAAGACAAAGTTAGGCTTGGGTACTAATTAATAAACTAAGCAGAGTTTGGTTACACAGCCTTCTCCACCATGAATTCCCTATCTCTGGCAGTAAGAATGTCTCTTTACCTCCTGGTACAGGGAGGGCACCTTTCACATGGGAGATTTATTTCCTCCTTTCAGGAAGACAGAGGAGGGTCAGAGTGCCTTTCTTGTACCAGCTATTTCTTAAGTAACTTTAATTAAAAATATGTGTCAAAATGGCATATTACTGGGGTGGCCTGCCTTAAACTCCATCATCCTTAAGGTGTTTATTTCCTGGCTTAGCATTTGCCTTTTTGACATTTAAAAAACTTATGTTTTAGAACTTTAAATTTCATATGATACAATGTATTGATAAGCTTCCTTTGTGATTAAATGAAATACCATCATTATTTTTCTAAATAAAGAGGTGTAACAGAAGGAATCACACTGTGAATCATAATTCTCTACCCGTATAACCTCTGCTGATAATAAAGAAGTAATATCTGTACATGGATGGTATATTCAAAAGCAAAACTCTCTCAACCCCTCCCCAGGGAGGTCCCTTTCTCCTCTCTGAACTATTCCTTGTGATTGCTTTCAAGGAAAATAAAACCTGAAGGAGATCCTTCTATATTCATTGTTCTGCACCTTGCTTTTGGTCAC